AAAAAGAGATGCACTGTGAAGTTTAAGTATGCGCACCGTTGGAATGGCGACCGACATAAAGCTAATTAACGTTTCCGTCACCTCAGACGGGCAAACGCGGCGTGATGTCACTTGCTGACTCTGCACAGCTGACCTCATGGAAGTAGAGCAGCGTGGCGGTGAAGAGAGGCTGGGGGTGGCAGAGGGAGGGCACGGGGAGTTGGTCACCGGGGACAGAGTTTCAGACAGACGGGAGGAAGAGCCCTGACGGGTGTAACAGCAGGGTGCGAGAGTGCATGAGAATGGCCTGCACATTTCAGAATGCCTGAGAGTCCCCTCACATGTCTCCTTGCCTTTAGAATGGAGAGCAAGAAGACCCTGAGCTGCCCGGCTCCTGCCAGCACGGGGTGGCGGTCTGCCAGGCGGGGACTCACAGCTCCGGGTGGGAGCCGGCCAGAGGCAGCCCGCGGCCTGCAGAGGCATCTGAGCGACGACAGTGGAGTGAGCTGCACGCGGCCTGGAGCCTGGGCACAAGAGGGCCCCTCCGCCCCACCGGGGCAGCGTCTGAGCCTGTTGTCAGCAGTGTTAGCATAGGAGAGTTAGTGTCGTTAGCCTAGTCAGCATGATTTATTAGTGTTGGTAGCCTAGTTCATATAGTTAGTCTTGTCAGAATAGTGTAGTTAGTGTCGTTAGTGTTCTGAGCCTAGTCTGGTTGGTATTGTTCAGTAGTTATTTAGCCTCGTGTGTAGGTAGTGTGGAGTCTGCAGCTAGCATAGTTTGAGGTGACCATGCAGCAGGGCTTGGCCTCCAGTGCCTCCAGTGAGGAGCTCCTCTATCACCAGCTCCTCAAAACAATCGGCTGGGGCAGCTCCGCCATGGCGACGCTGCCCTGCACCTCCCTACCGGGACCCAGGTGGGGCCGTCAAAATTATATCCAAGAAGAGCCTCTCCAGCCACGAAAGTGTCTATAAGGAGGTGGCAGCAGTGAGAACCCTGAATGATCCAAACATCCTAAAGCTGTGGGGTGTCACAGACACCAAGGCACTGTTTGGTAACAATATGTGAGTGGCAGAAACCTTTTCCACTCCACACTCCGACATGGCCACCTGGAGGGGAGGAGGCCGGCCGGATCCCGACAGAGCCTATGCGCCGTGCGGTGCTGCCACTGTAAGAAGACGGCACGGGACCGAAGCCCGGCATCCTCCTCGACGCCGGTGATAGTGTGAAAATCGCGACTTTGGCTTGGCCACGACATTTGCGGAAGGGAAGAAGCTGGATTCCTTCTGTGGGACGCCCCAGAAATGCCCCAGAATGTCCCCGCACCAGGAGAGCAATGGCCCGAGGCGGACGTGGGGAGCCGTGGTGTCGTCGCGTGCTTCACGACAGCCGGGACTCTTCCACTCGACAGAGAGGGTTTTGGTAAGTAAGGTTGTGAGTGGAACGTACAAGATACCTTTCTCCTCTTCTTCTCTTTTTCTTTTTTCTTTTTGAGACAGAGTCTCACTCTGGGCTAGAGTGCCGTGGCGTCAGCCTAGCTCACAGCAGGCTCAAACTCCCGGGCTCAAGCCATCCTCCTGCCTCAGCCTCCAGAGTAGCTGGGACTACAGGTGTGTGCCACCACGCCCGGCTAATTTTTTCTATTTTAGTAGACACGGGGTCTCACTCTTGCTCAGGCTGGTCTCGAACTCCTTGCCTCAAGCGATCCTCCCGCTTCAGCCTCCCAGAGTGCTGGGATTACAGCCATGAGGCACGCCGCTCATGGCCCAAGACACCTCTTTTCTTTTCAGATGAACTGAAACTTTTTCTGCAAAAGTTCCTGACCCTTGACCCCAGGGAGAGGCCCGCCCTCCTCCAGATTATGAGCCACAGCGGATAAATTGTGGGGCGAGACACCGAGGCCACGCAGAGATGTCCGCAATAGGGGCCATAGGGAACGGACGCTGGAGGGGACCAGGAGAGCCCTCAGGCTGGGCAGCCACACGGAGGACCTTGACCTCTCTCTCTGAAGAGGGCAGGGCCGGAAGGGGCTCGCTAGAGACTTGGCAAGTTTCTCTTAAGAATTTGCTGTGTCCTGCGGCCGAAAGATCTGCTGCATGGGGCCGAACACGGTGGCGCCCGTGACGGAGGGCGGCTGACGCGGCAAGGGCAGGTATGTGGGGCGGTCCAGCCACACTTCTGCACCTCATCGTGTTTAATGCCATCTTGCTGACATATTTTTAACAGACACGTCATAGATGTACGCATGTCTGCGGTACAGTGTGAAGTTTAGGTATATGCGCACCATGTGGAATGGTGACCTAGCTAATTAACGTTTCCGTCACCTCAGACGGGCAAACGCGGCGTGATGTCACTTGCTGACTCTGCACAGCTGACCTCATGGAAGTAGAGCAGCGTGGCGGTGAAGAGAGGCTGGGGGTGGCAGAGGGAGGGCACGGGGAGTTGGTCACCGGGGACAGAGTTTCAGACAGACGGGAGGAAGAGCCCTGACGGGTGTAACAGCAGGGTGCGAGAGTGCATGAGAATGGCCTGCACATTTCAGAATGCCTGAGAGTCCCCTCACATGTCTCCTTGCCTTTAGAATGGAGAGCAAGAAGACCCTGAGCTGCCCGGCTCCTGCCAGCACGGGGTGGCGGTCTGCCAGGCGGGGACTCACAGCTCCGGGTGGGAGCCGGCCAGAGGCAGCCCGCGGCCTGCAGAGGCATCTGAGCGACGACAGTGGAGTGAGCTGCACGCGGCCTGGAGCCTGGGCACAAGAGGGCCCCTCCGCCCCACCAGGCCGTGACTCCTGGGCGCTTCTCCCTCCCTGCTCTCCTCTGCCCGTTCTTCCCTGCCTGTGGGGCCGGCAGACGGTTCTTAGTAAACTCCTGTTTCTTCCAAATCTTAAGTACAAATAAAGCTCCAGAAAGCTGGGTCCGAGACAGTTTCTGTTTCGCGTCCGCCCTGCAGACTTGGGGCTGTGCAAGCCCTAGTTCAGGCAGCATGGAGCAATGCAGTACGTGCGCTTGATGAGAAACACTCGAGGGACAAGAGACTTGAGGGACGTCCCGAGGTAACCCCCAACAGCAACAGAGGAGGCTCCGAGCCGCGTGCAGGGCAGACGCGCACTCGCTGTGCGTGGCCTCCCCACACCAACATCACCTGGTTAACGTTTTCAGAAGGACCAATGGGGACCTTAGGCCCTGTCGGCCTGTGTTCATTATGCCCGGTAGGATAACAAGGTCCCTTGAACCAGACTGTGTTGGGAGTCAGAGCAGTGGCCGGGGCTGGTCCCCTAAGCACCCTAGGGGGCCACTTGTCCTGCTGGGGTCCTGTCTGCACAGTGCAGCATTTGGCCTTTCTGCTGTGATGCTTCCTCCCTTTCCTAACAATGGCACAGAAGGGTCCCTAAGAGGCCTGAGTGAGGTGTGGGCCTTCGGCCAGCCAGAGGTCGAAAGGGTGCCTCTGGTGAGCAATGTCCCGGGGGCCGGAGGGGGTGTATCACGAGAGACCACAGCCAGAGGAATGGACGGGGTGGTGGGAAGGGGGGCTTTCATAAGACAAGTTCCGGCTTCCCAGGGCCCGCTATTTCCGGTAGGCTTGGATCTGGGCTTTCAGGCCTCCATCAGGGAGCTTCCTCGTGGTCCTAAGGAGCCTGAGCAAGGTCCAGGAAGGCCCTGGCCTGGCGCATGCCTCAGCCAGCACGCGGTGTGCAATCTTTAACATGCAGTGACCCTGCCACTAGTAATGGTGGCCAGCATGGTCCTGGAGCCTGACCAGTCGGATGAGACTCTCCTGCACCCCGAGAGAGCAGGACCAAGGGAAGCAAGAAGGGTTGGGACAGGGTGGAGTCTTGTGGGTTCCCTTCGTTCCCCAGTGTGGATTTTCCTTATGCTTAACAGCCTGGCGAGCCATCACCCAGGGCTGCTGTCCTTAAAATCCAGCCCTGGCTCCCACCCCTTCAGGGCAAGTCCCCGTTCCTCAGTCGGACCTCAGGTCCCTCCGTGACCTGTCCCCCTGATGACTCGTCACCGCCCAGCCTGCCTTCGCATACACACACCGAATCGCCCAGTTGCCACAGACGCCATCACACCTGTGTGCCTTGGCAGCTGGGCTTTCCTGCTGGGAAGCCTGCACGCGGCCCCGGCCGAGCTCCACTGGGCTCCCAGAGATGGAGCAGACACAGATGTCCCCACACTGTGAGGACCTCGCTGCCCAGCTGGGGAGATGCGACAGGGACCTAACTAGCCACAGTACAGCCACCTGTTCACAGGCACAAAGGAGGGACATACACATTGCTGCCCGCACCCCTGCCGCTCAGGGATCCGGGGCAGCTTCTGCAGGAGGTGGGTCTGGCAGCCTCCATGGCCTGAGTGTGGCCACGGGAAATGGCCAGGAGGCATTCTGGGCAGTAGGAGGCCAGAGTGACTGGAGCACCCAGGGCTGAGGTGGCAATGTGGATGGGCACTGGGGGTTGGCCCAACCCCTTGTTGCCAGGACAACTCCTACAGGTGCATTTTGCTCTGGGTCTGCACACTTAACCATCCCCCAGCTCAGCTCTGAGGACTGGACACTCTGATGATGAGACCTTCTCTCTTCTCGGCGCTTCTGTCCTGGGGGTGCCGGGGTCAGGGGTCACCTCCCACGTCCCCTGCAGTCCAAGCTCGGCTCTACAGGAAGAGCTGGGGTTTGCTACAAAGAGCAGGGATCCTCTGCAGAGGTCCACAGGAAGTGACCAGATCAACTTCCGTGTGGCGAGACTCCTCTGGCTGCAGGTGCACTGTGGCCCCGGTGGGAGAGAGGAAGCCGGGAGCCCTGAGAGTGGAGACCTGGCCTGGACCTCACACTGCAGGGTGGAAGGGGGAGGGGGGGCCCAGAGACTTCATTTGAAGGCAGCCCCTGCAGGACTGGCTGAGGGAGTGGTGTTCCCTGATGGAAAGGAAAGAATCTAGAACAAAGTAGACATTTTTGACATGAAGGACTGGGGTGGGGGGGGCGGGGCGGTACACTGGTTCTCTGAACTGAGACAGAGGAGATGGGAGGAGACGTGAGAGCCAGACCGAGCCCCATTGGGACATCTGAAGTCTGATATGTCTCATCACAAACTCTTCCTCTTCTGTTCTCTTTTCCTCTCTTCTCCCCTCCCCTCCCCTCTGTCTCTTCTATTTTCTTTTCAACAGGGTCTCCTTCTGCCTCCTGGACTAGAGTGGCCTCATCATAGCTCACAGCAACCTCAAACTCCTGGGATCAAGTGATCCTCCTGCCTCGGCCTCCTGAGTAGCTGGGACTACACTTGTTACTGAAAGCTCAGCACTTGTCCCTGTGGCTGCATGAGAAGAATGAGGACAAGTGGTCTGAGGAGAAGGAACGAGAAGTTTATTAATTGGCTGGCAAACGAGGAGGTTGGCAAACTCCTGTTTAAAGTACCAAGGTCCTGCCCCTGAGCAGGAGCACTGAGCTTTGAAAGGGGCAGTTTGCAGCTTCAGGGTGTTGCTGTTCAACTATAGTTGATGGTTCTGAGTCTTCCCATCTTAGGCCAAGAATCCTGGCGACCTCCACTGGGACAATTCCCTTGAGCCATCTCCTGTGGCCCAAAGAATAAAGGACGCTCCCTGCCGCCCCACCCCCCACTGGCCTGAGACAGGGATGCAGGTTTTAGTTCTCAAAAAGGGTGAGGGGATTTTGAAGAAACAGGAAACATTTTTACCCTTTTCCAGTCCACTGTGTTACACACTGGTGCGCCACTACGCCCGGCCACAAACTCCATCGTTTGTATGGCTGTTATTTGGAACTACGGTTTCAAAACATTATTTCAATGTGATATGCTGTTTATTGTTCAGTACACCTCATTTTGAATTAAAATAGCTTTCAATTCAGCCATTATAAATAACGATGCTGTGAATATTTGATACATGAATCAGCCTCTCTGATTATTTTCTTTAATTCCTAGGGTAGAATGACTATGCCAAAGACTATAAGCATTTTACAGTGTCTTAGTACTTATGGCCAAATGAAGCTTCACAAAAACCATATCATCTACAGTCTTCCAAGAGCAGCACCTGTCAACAGAAAAGAACCCAAACTCTGTAAAATAATGTGAAGAGATTTATTCTGAGCTGAATATTGTGGCCATGGCCCAGAAAGCCTGGCCAAGGAAGCCTGGAGCAAGTGAGCGTGCTGTGGCTGGATTACACTGGTTTTATACATTTCAGGGAGACAAGAATTACATGTAAATTCATAAATTAATACCTGGAAGGTATACCCGAAAAGGGTACATGGAAGGTGTACTCGAAAAGGCGGGACATCCCGAAGTCTGTGATTACAGGGTATAGGTGGATTTAAAGATTCTTTGATTTGTAATTGGTCAAAGAAATGAAGCTTTGTCTAAAGGTTTGGAGCACTTTAAATTAAGATAAGGAAGTCTGTTAATCAGAGACAAGCCATCTGCCGGAGACCAAGACTCGAGAGATGTGTTAAGCAAATTGATGTCCTGTGGGCATGGTTTGAGCATTGCCTTGCATGGCCTTACTCCCCATAAAATGGATCTCCCTTCTCCTCATGGCCAACAGCTCAGCTTTCAGGTTTTTCGCGGGTCCCCTTGGCCAACAGGGGAAGCCCATTCAGTTGGCTGGTGCTTAAGATTTTATTTCAGTTCACACCTGTATTCGAGAACACTTGCATACGGGTGCTTTCCATGAATTTCCTTGAAGAAGCAGCAAATTTTGGACTGTAACTGATTATAAATCACTTTTTGAGAAGAATCAAAGTGAAAAAAAAACTGTAGATAACAGAAGATGTTGTATAGCCACGATTAAAGACATAGTTGAAAAGGAATTGGGTTATTTCTCTGGCATACAAAAATTTGACATAATAATCCTAAGTAACAACATATACCAAGTTTCCCAAACAATCAAAACCCCCAATAAAGACAGAAATGTGTCTTTCCCTGCTTCTCCTCTGTCTTTCTTTTTTCTTTTCTTTTCTCCTTTCTTTCTTTTTTTACAGCTCACTAAGAAGATGGTTTTGGAAAAACTCTCGAAGTGTGCTTTGCCCTGCTCTCCCCCCACAGCAGTCACCAACACAAGAAGACTTGCGTGACTGGAGTGGGGACGCTTCCCCAAACACCAAGCGGTGGACCCCGCTGGGCGTCCCCTGACCCAGTCCCCACACTGTCTAGCAGGTGATGGGGCAGCTCCCCAGGGCGAAGGCTCAGTCCCCAACACTGCTACGGGAAGCTCAGCGGGGCCCTGAGGCCACTTCAAAGAAGGAGGACATCTTCAGCCCCCCACTGCTAAATTTGACTGGCTTTAAAAAAAAGAGAGAGACTGAGGACTAGTGGGTGGAAGAGAAGGAAAGAAGAGTGTATTAATTTGCCAGCAAATGAGGAGGGTGGAGACTCCTGTCTAAAATGCCTTTGTCCTAACAACAAGCAGAAACACAGAGCTTGTAAGGGGAGGCTCTCAGCTTCAGGCAATTGCTGTTCACTGCAGCTGAGGACTCTCATCACCCCAGCTCCCCCAGTCCCACGTGACTCTGCCCAGGACCTCCCCCAGACAGTTCTGCTGAGCCATCTCCTGCAGCGCAAAGAACAGAGGACATTCCTCTCCCGTCCCGTCCAGTGGCCTGGTGCACGGATGCCGGTTTTAGTTCTCCAAAAGTAGTGGGGGATGTTTTAAATGGACAGAAAATGTTCTTGCCGTTTTCCACCTGTCGCTTCTGTTACAATACTGGCCCCCACTTTAGACACCAGGTCGCCTGTCTGTGCCTCCCAAACTTCTGACCAACTGGCTTCAAGCTGAGGTTTTCATGACCCCCTCTTTGGGTTCAATTAATTTGCAGGAGTGGCTCACAGAATTCAGGGAAATACTTACATCTACTGGTTTCTTACAAAGATGTGAACTAAAATACAATTTTAAGGCTCACCCCTGCCCCCAC